TGGCCCTCCGCCCGCAGCCGCCCCGAGCGCCGGCGGGGCCCGCACGGGCACATGCAGCTCTTTGTTTTCCGTCCAGCCGGGCGCTGCCTACGTGCAGCATCAGGATGTGGGGTCGTCTCCCTGGGGCGAGATACTTGACGACCACCCCGCGAAGGCTCCAGACCCCGCGCCCCGAGAGCCCGGAGCCCTGTCCTGCCGCCCTCCCCTCGGCTGCAGGCCCATCTCATCTAAGTTTTGCCCCGTCCTGGATGAGAAACGCCCGCGCACCGGCCGCGAGTTGGCGACTTTCACTCTGCTTTTTAAACTGGCAAGACGCCATCATCGGCAAATCACATTGTCCTGCCGGGCGGCCGGGCTCCACAGCGCCCGCACCTCGCCGCCGACCTGGAGCTGGGCGCTCCGGCGAAAACCAGGTCGCAGCCCCAAGCACGTGGTCTGTCACGTTCGGCACAAAAAGCAGTGTCCTCCGGAGTTCTCTCGCCCCCTTGGGCGCAGACGCCGCCGCCGCCTCCATCGCCCAGTCAGCGGGCTCCGACTGGCCATCTTAAGCCGCACACGGTCGCCCTAGAAAGCCCTTCGCCGTGGCGCCCACAGCTGCGCTACAGGTGAACGCGCTGCGAACTAAACTTGGGGCTCCACAGACACATCGGACACCGGCGCGGCTTGGGCGCGGTCCGGAGGGGAAGAGGCGTGCGGGAGCCGGGGCTGCTTCCGAGCGGCCGCGTGTTGCTCTCATTGTCGCATCCGCATCCCCCTGGAGTTGGGCAGACAAACGCCACGCCGCGCGCACTCGGCAACCCGGGCGCCGACCCAGGGGCCGATTTAAACCCCCTCTCGCCCGCCGGCTCGCAAGGACACGGCAACTTAAGTTTCTGCGCGAACGGCGTTTACGGTCCACCTCTCTCAAAACACGCGCAAGGGGCTGCCATGAACGAAGCCACGAGGTTCAACCGCGGCGCCCGACCACTCCCGGGCGCGCGCCCACACGATGCGCCGACCCGGGGCCCCTCGGCGATGGCCAGCGAGTCGTTTTCCTCTCGGGCCTTTCACAGCCACCGGGCTCCCCTTCGCCCGAGAAGGCTGCGGCTGACAAAAAGTCATTGTCACCTTCAACGTGGATCCCTCAACTCCAGCGACTCCGCACTCATTTCCAGACTCCACTCACTTCCCCCACCCCCAAGACTTTCGGTTTGCCTTAAATCCCCTCCCCAGTGAAAAGAGACACGTTAAACGTGTGCATACAAAAGAATCTGGGGTCTGAAGATCACGAAAACAGCGCTCCCCGCAATGCCATCTCCAAGACAAAACTTCCTGTGTGTGTGTCTGTGTGTGTGGAAGGGCTGGGGGAGGTGGAGGAGATGAAATGAGAGGAAAAGGAAAAAAAAAGCCACTCTGAAACCGAAGGCTAGTGAGCCAGTCCTGCACCAGAGTAATGGTTCGAGTCACTCACCTTCCAAAAACAGCCGATCCACGCGCAATAACGCTCCCGAGGTGCGGAGTGCACGCCAGGCCAACCCCCCCTCCAGTCGCTCCCTCCTCAACTGCCTTGTCTAGTAAGATTGTCTCCTGCAGTTCTGCAGTTGCTACCGCTGGCCGGGAAGGTGTAGATTCCGCTTTCCCTTTGCGCACGCGCGGCTCCCGGTACAAAATTCTCCTGAATCGAGCTCATTTGCATACGGGCGCGCGCGCGTCGAGGGCGGAGAGGAGAGAAGGCCCGGCGGCCGCGCGCGCTCCCGGGGCCTCTATTGTCCTTTTAAGGGGAGAAGCGCCGCGGCGCGGGAAACGCGGCGACCACAGGCTGGCGGGGGCGGGGACTGCTTACTACGGCTGACGTCACGTAAACAAACGCCTCCTGGGTGGCGGCGGCGGAGGG